AAAACAAGAGGAATTTTAATACACAGCAGTATATTCACAGTTTAAACCAGATACTTACATACACTTTATGGAAAACACAAGAACATTTTTTTTTTTACTGTACAACAACTATTGAGAGTAAACTTGTTTTGTTTTGGATAAATAAATATTGAAATATATTTTTGAATTAGTTAAATGTCAGAATAAAGAGAGACAGAGCTGTCTATTTTTTTATCACTTTCATCAAATTTAGGAGTACATATACACTAAGTTTATTGTTAATTAATAATAAAACTCCAGACGATTCCATTCTGAGCTGAAGAAGCTTCTGATAGGTTAATAGAGTCCATGTGAGCAAATTGGTGGCACACCTGTGGATCCATATAAGGCAAAACACAGAGCATGTTTCTTTGAAATGGGAAAATCAAGAGATGTCAACCAAAACACCAGGAAAAAAATTGTGTACCTCCATAAGTGTGGCTCGATTTTGAATACAATTTGGTGCCATTTACAATTAAGAAATACAGATAGTTTCTCTCTTTACTCTTAAAGTTAACAAATGTGTTTTTTATATTTATCAATCTAAAAAAATAAACACTTAGTCTGATTTGATGTTACAATTTAAAACAAGTGTTTCTGTTTTTATCTGAACAGTATGTAAATATCTGGTTTCAACTGTATATTTGATGATGTTGGTGTTTGGCTTGATTGTCAGCACAAAGAGGGAGAGAGAGGAACAGAGAGGGAGATGGAGAATGAGGACAGAACAGAGATGGAACAAGAGCAGGTGAGACACACATGTTAGTCAAATGGTTGTTTACCAAAAGTATCACCGTATCATAGGTACTCATGTATCTCGTACCTAGTGTTTCTTTTTAGGTTTGTTATTTTTCAAATTCTACAGGGTGGGCCATTTACCGTATATGGATACACCATAATAACATGGGAATGGTTGGTGATAATGAAGTCCTGTTTGTGGCACATTAGTATATGTGAGGGGGCAAACTCCTCAAGATGGGTGGTGACCATGGTGGCCATTTAGAAGTCGGCCATCTTGGATACAACTTTTGTTTTGTCAATAGGAAGAGGGCCATGTGACACATCAAACTTATTGGTAGTGTCACAAGAAAAACAATGGTGTGCTTGGTTTTAACGTAACTTTATTCTTTCATGAGTTATTTACAAGTTTCTGACCACTTATAAAATGT